ATATGAATGAGTATTAAGTTCAAACAAAAACAAGTGCATGTCCTATTGTGTACTTTAAAAATAATTACAAACAATTTTAAAGGAAATAGTGAAAACAACAATGAATATAAAATGATCAAAAAGAAATTCAAGCTTTTTAGATCAAAAAGAAATTCAAGTATTATTTTGTAAAGTTCCTCAGACATTAGTCTTTGAAATTTAAGTTTGTGCAATACCTATCATTGCATAGTAAACATTGTAAAACTCCAGTTCTTTGTAATTTATTTTAACATGCACCTATAATATATTATTATTAATTTGCGTAGTGGAGCTTTCCTCCTAGTAGAGAATTTGCTCAATTCAGTGGGATCATGCAGCATATCAACATAAGCTATATAAAATGTCCATATATTTGCTTGATGAATCATTTTTAATGGATAAAAGTATAATGGCTAAAATGGAAAGTTAACATTTATTCTGTAAAGCCAACCCTTAAAATGACACTGAATGTGGTAAAAAATTAAGCAGTATATGTTCTCTACAAAATATGGTAAATGAAGACTTATAAAATAAGTATCTACCCTAACAAGTTTGATTGCGTAGCTCTAGTATTACATAAGATAATGTAATCCACTTCTGTGAGATATGTAGTTGCATGGTCATTTACATTCTATATGTAAGTTTGTGTACTGTAGAAAACACATAAACATAACAGTGTAGCAGAGGAGAAATTTAGACAAGAAATTATATTTCTTATGAAACTGCTAGTGTAGCAATAAGTTACACTAACTCATCATATGTACATAACTGGGGACCAGTGTGGTCTGATAAAAACATCACATCGCACATTTACAATGTTTTGTGAATTACTTCAAGAATTTTTTTTAGTAAAATAATCTGATTTTTGTAACCATGTTGAATGGCATTGTCTACTGTGGTTACCACATTGCTCCCAGAACTAAACCATAAAGGAGACCTTAGCACCTATTTAGATATCATTATTCCAAATATAACTGAAAGAGAAGTGGAATTAAGCAAAATAGTACTACTGGGAAGTGCCATATTGCACATGAGAGCATTTGAAAAGGAGCACATCAAGCACATACATTTTATTTGTGGAGACTCAGATCCATGTTTGGATTCTGGTAAGGAAGTAAAGGAAAATAAATTGCCTGCAAGACTGCCTTTCTTACAGTATTTTGAAGACTAAACATCAATGCTGTATTCGAGTCATGCAGCTTTCCCATTGCAACTTTTACCCACAATGGAATAGCAATCTCATCAATTAGAGTGATTATGTGAAAATAGCCATGCCCTCCAAATGTTATTGAATTAGGGTCATGAGAATGGCTACTGTGAACAGCTACTTGATTGTACTACTGATGAGAAAGCATGAAGAAAGAAAGGTATCCCAAATAATGGGTATTTTAATAACTTCTACGGTCAAATCTAAAAACAGATCCAACATTTTAAAAGTACCATGGCTTGCTTTATTTTAAGCTAGTTCTGAATTATGCAATGGAAAATAATCTTAAAATGTTAACATATTTACATCAATATACATTGAAGGTAATTTCTACAGTATCTGCTGAATTATACTAATATACATCGAAATATCTGTGATCAAGTCAAAAGCTTTTAATTATGTGGCTCTTTGGGGGCACACATCAAAAGTTAATTGTAATCAAAAAGTATTCTTTTACTGACATTAAAAAGTACTAGGCCAAACATTGGAGCTTCTGTTGTGACTGTACTTTCCTATTTATTTCATACAGTAGGATCTGTAACAAATGGTTTATAAGATGCTTACTGTCTTGAAAATGGCTGGTTTAATGCAAAAATGATCATTGACACTATTTCCCACCACACATGGAAAACCTGTGAGTGTGATTGCAGTAGCACCACAGTGGGATGTTGATTAGGCATCAGCAGAGAATGAGGTGGTTAGATGAAATCACTGAAGCAGTGGGCGTGAGCTTAAGTGGACTCAGGGGAACGGTGGAGGACAGGAAGGCCTGGAGGAATGTTGTCCATGGGGTCGTGATGTGTCAGACACGACTTCGTGACTAGCAACAAATAAAGCTAGCAACAAATAAAGCATTCTGCAGGAGTGCACCCACACAGATGTCTTATTCATGAAACCACTCATTCTGAGATGCTGCTCTTTAATTGACATTTACATCAGATTGTGGACTGGTGTAAATGGCTAAGTGCTGCAGTGCTTGCTTGCTTGAGAAGGATGAGAGAGCAAAAGCAACCGTCATGTTTAAGCGTGAAGACTGTTCTCTGCACACATAAATGACAATAGTGTTCTTATGCTGCCAAAAAGAATAGAGCTATAACAGTAACCACAAGTAGTCTAGGAAGCAACATTCAAGGCTGTGCTTTGAAAATGCATACTACCCAAACTCAGATATTTTACACTTGGATATGTGGATCATTTTACACTTGTCAGAAACAGAAAGATGGATTTGGAATGAGGTGCTGTTTAGAACTGTAAAACAATACAAGGGAAAGCCTTAACCTATTAAAAGCACTCAAGTTTTTATGGGTATTTAAGGCTTATTTAGGCTTTCTTTCCTTCCACACAATGTGAGAAAGAGAAAGGAACATGGATGGTAAAATCAAAAAGTTGTAAGCTTGGCACTTCTGTGATTAATTTGAGAGGGTGTCAACTTCTTACAGTATATACAAAGTATTTGTATGACAGCAAATAATGCATTTGGAAAGAGAAAAATGCATTGCATATATATGCATTTACACATATTAATAGTTTTCAATGGGATGGGGGTTGTTTTTTTGGTTTCAAGCATACAAATTTTTAAAGCATACCTGTTTTCTGCTAGAACTGTGGCTACATGTGGGATGCCTTTTAAGAGCAAGCCCAGAACCCCCACTATATAACATGCTAAAATGAAATAAAAACCTTGAAGATACTTTCTCAAAAGGATTATGATGCAAGGGGATAGAACTGCCTACAAAACAAAACCTTAAAGAAGTTGTGTTATATTGGGAAGTGCTATGACCAAATAATGAATAATGACAAAAACATTTTATGTTCATATTACAATCTCTATATCATGGCATGACCTGCCATACCCCAAAGAGGCTTTCTCCCAAATCCAAAGAGAACTAATGAATGAAGTTGTAGAGCTTAGAGAGTAGTGTGTGTGGCATGGGTAAAACATGATTATATAAGAACCCAAAACCAGCTTTTCTATGATTTGCTTTTATTGGTTTCTTAGTATGCAGATTTTGCTTGGGATCAGCTTGCTAGCTTATTTGCTGTATATATGCCATGCAATTTACCATTTCAAAAGTTAGCTTATCATGCCACTGGAGTCTGTCATTGATATTAAAAGGTCATGCGAACTCAGTTTATCAGTTAAGAAACTCTTTACCTATTTTAATATTTCGAAACAGTTCTCTTATTGCACTTGGTTTGCTCCGTTCTTTGTTTTTTTAAAAAAAGTTAGGCCAAAATAGTCTTGTCTCTAACACCCTAAAAAAGAGAAATGAATGGAGGGAGCTCTTGAACTTGAATCTTCAAAAAGGACAGTTTTCCTTCAGCCCTTTCATAAATATCTCAGTTTGCCGTTTGTAGTAAATCATTTTCTTCTGCAGTGATGTATTTTCTGTACAGCTACTACAAAACCCTGTCATATTCAGAAATTCAGTAATGCACAGAAAAGTTATTTCAATGAGTTCCTTAGATACCTTGTTGATTTGGATCATATCTTCTCTTTTTGACATTTCTTCCAGATAAAGAAGAGGCAAAATAGCAAGATGGGAAAACAAGAAAATATAATAGTTAGGCTTAAGTGAAAACAATGTAATGTTATTATCATCACACTGTAGTAAGGGCTCACACTATGACCCTGAAAAGTTAAAATACATCAAATTGTAATTTAATGTTCAGTTCTCAATAGTTCTACAGAGCATGCAAATATATTAAAGATGCATCCCCTTTGTGTTTTGTTTTTTGCTGTCATACCAAGTCAGTTGCTATTCTGACAGGCTACAGTGAAATCAAAACAAATGTGTATCCTTTGTGCAAGCCTTTACTACAATACGGAACAAAGTACTTTCACTTTCCACATAGCGGATGCAGAGAAACTGCTTTTAAAGAAGAATGGACACTGGCATGTGATAGCTGCATCATTACAATTTTGCTGCCATTGATAGCAAGCTAAGAAGCTTTTTGTATAAATGTCCATTCTCCTGTCGTATCAATATCCTATATAAATAAACAGCAAGACATTACAAGGCAACACAAAAACTGGATGCAACCTCCCCATTATCTGGCTTTATGTGTGGCATCAAGCAAGGGGTTCATGCATTTAATCTTAACACTGGCCGTGTGCATTGCTAACTGCCACCAAATTATCATGCAGTAAAACATATAACAGGATTTCACAGATCCCCTAGCATTATGGAACACAAAATTTTGAGTCTTCTCCACTGCATATTCCTGAATTCCTGCTGCAGTGAAGAGAATTCTTTTTAAAAAAAATGCTTCTGTTTTCTTGGAAATGTGGTAAATTATGGATAATTGCAAAAAGACAATTATTTTCAGCCATTACTTTTGTGCCATGTACCTAAACATGCACTGTATGGATCAATGTTTTATAACTACAATTTTCATGGCCTTTTGTACATGAAATACACTGTTAAAACATACCATGAATCACATAAATTAAATCACTAAATTGTTCCAGTATAACAGAGTAAGCTCCTTGCTGCTTATGTGGCAATAATAGATCTGAAATCTCTATCCCAGTAGGATCAGGGTTTCCTTTTTTATTACCTCAAAACACCAGCATAACTTGCTAGAAAGACAGGAATTACCACCAGTTGGTACTGTTGTTGCAAATAGGTTACTGTTTTCAGCTTGTATTCATTTAGATTCTGCAGACCCACTGTTCCTATTTTTTCTTTGTTGTTATCTTTCTCTGAAGATAACAATTTTGAATTCATGCATCTTATCTACAAAAGCATAAACCACAATAATTATGCTAGCTTATAAATTGTTTTTAATTACTTGTTTTTCCTAAAACAGACCGACATGTTTGCCCTGCTGGAATTTGAAATTAACAAAAACCCAGATTTGAGCAAATTATCTTTACTATGTTTCATACAACACAATGTTTTTCATGACACGTGCAGTTTGAAATCAATGTCATCCCCTATTTTAGTATTCATTTCAAACTCAAATTATTTTTTCTGAATTATGCAATTAAATTCAATGTGCTAAGAAAAGGGGATATAATTTGGCTTAACAGCAACAGAACAGTACTTTTGAAAAGTGATGGACAAGCTGTTTTGGCTCACATAACACAAAATATACTTGACAATCTCAAAAAAATGTAAAGATTAGCCATATGACTACCTTGTGTCTCCATCATAGTTTTATGCCAAAAAGCACCAACACTAGGCAGATTTCTTTATGTGAAGATCAGTCCATTATCAAAGATGATCATGTTTAACTTGCTAGCTCTGCACAGTATGAAACAGATGATGCAGAAAACACTGCAGGCTGCTCTTCCTGCAGTATGTTTTAAACAACTTATGCTTAGAGAGTGATACTTATGGGACAATCCTAGGTATGTCTACTCAGAAGTAAGCCTTAATTGTTTCAAAAGGTTTTCTCCCAAGCAAGTGCATAGTACTACAGACTAAACCAACTACTGGCCTGATAATAAAGATGAACCTTTTGCTTTTTCTCTAAGAAAGAAAAAAATGGTAGACTATTAACACAAAGTAATTTCTTTAGGATTAATGTTGATGTCCTTGCATTCTAGGCAATTATTCCTGGCTCCCTTCCAAAGAAAGTCCAATATAATTAATCTTATTTGGCCTTTTTCTAAACAACATATAACAAGTCTTGTACAAAATTGAACACATTGGAGAATAGGAAGGCTGCATCTCTGCTCCATGCTCCCAAAATAATGCATACTTTAATTACTGCACAAAGGCAATGCCATTTAGAAGTTCTGCTCTAACATTAGACAACAGTACTTGCTGTACATATTAGGAAATAGATTACATGTATCAAACCAGGCAAAATATGAAACAGCAATTGTCATCCTCCATTGAAACTGTATGACTTAGGGAAGAGAGATCAGTGTAAGCAGGAAGTGGCCTAAAATACTGAGCGTATGACTCAGCCTTTCACTCAACCATTTCTAAAACCACCATGACATTCCACTGATGAAAATATGGTCCTTTTAAACATGTCAATGAATTGGCATTTTATTAAAAACTATAAGCAGCATCTTCATGGTGAGCAATCTATTGTCATGTTCATGCCTAGACAGAAAAATGTTTATTTTAGCCACAAAAACTTTGTAAGAACCATTGCAGAGGGTGGCCTCAGAGGTCCAGTTTGCTGTCAGCAGCTGCACAGAAAGCTGGCATTATGAGAACAAGCAGACAAGAGTCTTGGTCATGTGTAGTTCCTTCTTCCCATGCCCTGTGTAAGAAGAGCAGATATGATGTGTCCATTCCCAGTTTATAGCAAACCAATTCTTTCTGGTTTGCTGTAAAATAATTATTGGTTTTGAAACCCAAGCTTGATCCTAACTTACAGGGAAGGAATGGTTTGGTCAAACTACTTTTGGCTAGGGCCAGACAAAATAGCAGAGTATGGATTGATACAAACCACAAATGGCAGTATCAAATATCCTTCCCTTGTACATGGGAAGAGGAAGATGAAGTGTTTAAGACCAAGGCCCTTGCCTACTTGTCCTCATAATGCCAAGATACGATGTGATAATTACATCTGCATACAGTTCTCTGAGCAATTGCAAAAAAATAGATGGACGTAATAAAAAGAACTGTCTTAATGAAGATAAAAAGAGACAGGTCCATCCAGCATATGGATTGCCAGGACAGAAAGCAAAGACATAGTAGGGGTGGAAGACTAAGTCAACTAACTATGGAGGAACTTGCACAAAATGGAAAGCAGGTAGGCAAGCACGCAAACAGTTCACAGTACAATGGCATCCAGTACATCTCACACCATGTATAGATCAGCCTTCCTCAATCTAGGGTGCCTCAAATGTTCTGGCCCATGCGCAAGAAAATTAAAATAAAGGTTAGCCAAAGCTATGCAGCTTATGAAGCAAAGTATAACCAAGGCTAAGGATCTCTCAATTAACTCTAAAAATGAGGTTTATCGGGGGGGGGGGGGATGCTGTTATAGTTAGTATTCTGAAATCGCCAGACATAAGGTACACATAGTAATGGTTTGTGATACCAAGTTCCTTCTACCCTATTTTCATTTGTGTTCCAAGAGACCAGATGTAACTAAACAAACTACTGCACTGCCTTTCCCTGTTGCACAAGCACTAGCAGACTGCCTTGTAAATCTAAGATATGCTAGTAGTCATGCAGCTGTGCAAGTGGAACTTAGGCCTTTTGCGCATGGTTCTGCCTTAACACAAAAGGGATGTAAAACACTTGTTTCACACTTATCTCATTTGCTCAGGCATGCTAAGCTGCCTGAGAATAAGCCTTGGTATGTTAGTTATTCACTGAATGACTTACAGTGGTGCTGTCAATCAGGCTCTTCAAGGCTTGTTCTGGCTTGTTTCTTTCTCTCTCAATCCATCTGCTTGTTACAAACCCCAAGGGCTTTTCTGGGAAAATCCCATAGCTCACCCTTGCTCCCTCTCCAGCAACATCTTTGTTTTGGTCCACTGACTGGTCTGTGTGTGTCATGCCTTTCCTGGCTTCTGACATAAAGCTTTCTGATCCCTTGCCTGCCCCTTGGAACACCAATACTTGCTTAGACTTCTTTTTCAAATAAAAATTGTAAGCCTAAACTTTCTCTCTGGAGGTTTTCATTTTATTTTGTCTTGCATTTCATTCATGGAGAATGTGATGCAGTCCGCACATGCCTCAGAAGCAGGTTTTATTCACTGTTCCTTCCTCACCCCATTTCCTGCCTCTGCACTCAACTATCTGAGAAGCAGTTTCAGGTTCTGCTCCTTCTTCACCTGCTTGTTCCACCACACTTTCTTTTAGTCAGAGAATCACATTTCACAGCAGCATATTGGCTTCTCTCCAAAACACCACTGTATATGAGCATACATCTGCCTTTGAAGCTCACAAGTGCCTGGAGCACCACGCTAAAGGAATATTTACAGTTGAAGAACTCTTCACCCTTACTGGGTGGAGCTAAAATGTAAGACAACTCCCAGGCTCCCACCACCTAAAGAAACCCTAGCTCATAAGACCCTTTCCTCTTCTTTCTCCTCTCCTCTGCTCCTACAAAATCACAAAAACAAAGCTTGTTCAGAATGCACATTCTCTCTCTGAAGATTTTGCATGCACTAGGTTTCCCAACTCCAAAACTAGGGAGGTGCACATTGTATAAAGCAATTAGCCCAACTTTTCTTTAAATGATATATGCTTCTGTATTACTATGTTAAATGGTGAATTGTGGGCCTGATTTCTGATACCGTGATTTCAAAAGTAGCTTGGGACATGTGGAAAGTTCCACAAAAGCTGGACTTATCCCAAATGTCTACATTCTGCCTTGATATCCAAATGGTTTAAGTATATGTTAGTACCTACTAGTGGACAACACATTGGTCTACAAGTTGCCACCTTGTTTCTCCCTTTCCTTTCTAATTGTAGGGCACAGAACAGTCACTAAACAATCTGCTCAAGTTATCATGCAATGGTGCTGGAAAAATTCATCCTGATCTTTGCAATGATCATCAAGACCTGTTACAGAATTTTTTTCATGGCAGAAATGACAGCTTCTCCTGCTCTAATTCAGTCTCCAGCACTCTCAAACATACATAATAGGAGCGCTAGCAGTCACATACTGTAACATTTTCATTGAGGGGCAGCAGCTGAAGGAGAAGGGATGGAAGCAAAACAATGGGAAGGATGTAATTTGTTTGCCTAGGTTAATGCAATCTGGGTGTGGGAAAGAAGCTGCTTTTGATGAAGGTACTGTGAAAAAGGGAGAAATAAAGACAGAAGAAGCAAAAGGAAATACTTCTGAGTGTGCAGAAATGGATATTCAATGCCCCCAAACATTAAACAACACCCCACAGTTAATGCCCATAGTGGGAATGCACCTTTGTACCAGAGACAACCACAGCTGTGTCTAGAAAAGTGATCCTATGCTACAAGGGGCCAGTTCCACATCCCCTAGCATTAGACATCCATGGTTCCAAAAGTGAAGCATCCCCACCATGACCTCCTCTCTAGTGAAATGCCAAGCCTAACCACACAGTTTCCATGTTGCTGGCTGAAAGCACAGAGTGAGAATCTTGTCATTATTAATGTTTGCTTGTTTGCTCTGCTACAAGAAGAATGGAGTAAGAACAGAAGAACAAAGCATGTAACTTCAGGCAGGGGGAGTAGATACATGGTGTGTCAGCATGAAGCAGGAAAAGAAACTAAAAAGTAGCTGCACCTTTACTGCTATTCTTCCAAATCTGCCCGCTTTGAAGAATGTGGTTGGCACTTAGTGCTCAGAAGATGCCTTTCAACTGGTTACTCTGCTTCTTTGTGCTTGAGCATGGGTGCATATGGTTGTTCAGTAGGCTTTAGGCCATGGTACAAGGAAGGCTTTAAGTTGTACAAGGAAGTCCACTTAACAAGGAACATACTGAGGTTGAAGGACTTGGGCAGTCAAAATACTATAGAATGGTGCAGCTGCGGAGAACATGGGTGAAAGGATGTGTAGTACATTGAAGCGATATTGCTGGTATGCAGCCTGTGCCTGCTGGCCTTGCTTTGATGCTTGCAAGTCTGCTGTCAATGGCGGCAGTTATTTCCTCACTGCCCACTCAAAGATGGGTTCTGGTTAGCCATGCCGTCTTCATGCAGGCTTTTGTGGCACTTTCCACATGCAAGTGGGAGAAATCTACAATTTCTGTATTTTCCAGGAGGTTCAAGTCTACCTACATTTCCCTTGGGAAAGTATTCCAAACCATTTCCTGAATGGCACTGCTCACATGACCTTTGTTTTATATGGAACATCTCTGAATCCATGAAGTGTGTTAAGGGTTAGGATTTCTTTTCTTGCAGCAGGATTCTACAATCGGGTTCTTGAATTCAAGGACTACATAGTCAATGAACCTATTCCAGGAGTAAGAGTAGCTTGTAGGACCCCCAGAAATGGACTTGGGAGTGTACTGTAATTCCCCAAGGATCTACACAGAATACAGAGCCTTGGGCAGGCCAACATTCGGGATCTTGAAATGCTCGGGATATGAGTAGTTACTGATGGAATGCTGCATGGTTTGGGCATATTCAATCGCAGTACACTAAAGGGTTCAATCTGTCTTGATGTGCATGGAGGAGTTCCAGATTGAAGACTAGCAAGTCTTCCTGAGATCCTCAGGGAGTGGCAAGGCAATCTCAATGTCAGTAGTAAAACGAGGTGTCATATCCCTTCAACTAACCTGGACAGTCACAAGCTTGTCACAGAATAGCATGATATGTGGCATGATCCAAGAGCACTTGCGTATTGTTATTTCCTTAAAGCTCTTCTTCGTGCCATGAAGATTTTCCTTGTACTGTGAGGGGGAGTGCATGAAGCCTCATACTAACATTTACTCTCAAAACCAGGGAAAAAGATTATTGTATGTGGTGCTCTGAAGATATTCCTTTATCTTTGGACCTTCCAGAGATTTGTGAATATGCCAAGTTCTTCCATTCAAAATATGGAATCTGGTGATACCAGGCTTCCGCCACTTCAGTTGAAGCCCCAGATGCAACATAAGTCTACTTTTAGAACACCTGCATAGAAGGATCTGGGGTGGATACGAACAGTGGCGACAAGAATTCATGTCTGCCTCCTTTGGGGATCCACCATGAAGTCTGGTGACAAGTGCACTACGCAAGGCGTAAGTGATTTGCTTATTACAGAACTTGGTGCAAAGATGCACTGATTTTGGACTTCTATGTTCCCAGCCTGGGTAGGTAATGAATTCCCATACAGAGACAAGGCCATCATGGAAAGGACAGATTTGGGCTCTGACTACAAGGAGAAAAAAGCAAGGAATGGCACAGATCTTCCTCTTTGTGTGAAGAGAGTGTTAATTCACGTACTATATCATTTTAGTGTGTAAAAAATGTGGAATTTACAGCAGAAAATGAAGAGTCAAAATAATGCCCATGTTACTTCAGTTAAAAAATTAGAGGCTTCTCCAGGAGCTTTTCAGAAACTTTACTGCAAATAAGTGAAGAAAGGGTGCAAAAGTTGGCAGAACTGCAGGAGCCTTTGAACATGGTATGTAGATTACACAGAGCTGGCTCACAAGGGAAAGGGAAGAAGGGTGGGGAAGAGAGGGAGGGAGAAAGGAAGATGGCTGCTGACAGGTATAAAGACAAAAATGTGCTGGAATGGGGGAGAATACCAAAGGAGACTGAATTCAGGAAGGACAATCACAAGGAGCAGCATGCTTTTTGGACACTCTTGTAGTGTGACTCAGTGGTGTTTTTCAGCTACTCATGATGAAACAACTGTCAGATTCAGAAGACATGACAAGCCACCAGGAAGTACCCTAAAATAAGCCATGTGTTCTCAGGGTAGCTTGTTTGAGAAAAATATGCAACCCTGATAAAACTGTATCAGATTTGAAAGAAAGAGCAACCACACCATACCTGGTTATTTATGGTTGGGTTGTCATGTCATCCAAACCAAGTCAGTGTCTGCCACTGTACACTGCTGAAAATAATAATATACATATTCCATCATGCACAGCATCAATATGGTTCTCTCCAATTACTATATATCATATGTAAATACATTTTAAAAGGACAGGCATACATATTTCAATTTGTTTATGGGCACATACATCCTGGATTGCAAATGGGAAAAATCAGATGGATTTCAAAGGGGTTTAATACAATTTTATACACACTGACATTCTCCATTATGGGACTGGTTCAGATGAAACACTTTTGACAATGATAAAGGCAAATGTCAGTGAAGATCTATCAAAATCTCTAACTGTATTGCTTTTCCTGAAACAGACTCAATCACACAAAAAACCTAGCCTCTTCAAGGTGGTTGCCTGGAACCATTATGTAGAAACTAGAAAAATTATTTCAATAACTCCATAGGTCTGAAAATAGTTCAAACATCAGCATACAAGCACCCTTTGTACTAAAAAGACTTTACATCAAACACTATGATTTTAAAATCCAAGCACCTTCATGGCAAATGGGCTTGGATCCAGATTTGTGAGAGCAGAAGACTGTTTTAAACAATGGGGCTTTCCAATCCTCCTCTTCACCACTGCACCTCTGTGCACTTTGAAAGCTGCTGCAACCTTGCTGTAGATGAGTGGACAGCTCCACCCTTTTAACATTAATTTCTTCTCCTGCCACCAGTCCCTATTTCCAATCCTAACATGTTTAGAAACTCCCTGACCCACAGAAGTAACTTTGCAAGGATACAGGGACTTCAGTTCGGACAAGGGGGACAGAAAGCTTGCTTGCATTAGCAGTCTTCTGTTCACATAAGCTTAGATCCAAGTCTAAGTAATTCTTTTAAAAAGTGTGGAGGGGAAATATTTTGGTGCTCCATTGATATATTAAGCAGGTTTTTTAAAATGCTGCCTCGGATTATTACCCATTAGAGAGCTGAAGTCCCTCATTGTATTATTGTTTCTTTATCGTTAAACCACATTCTTAAAATAAATGCACAATTTTATTTTGTTTGGCTGTAATATTACCTTGCTGTTTCGGAAACAGTTTCAAAATGGAGTGCACTAAGTCTTTGAAATCTTAGCGAGAGAAACACACCTTTCTATTTTTGGGCTATCTTTTCCTTAATTCCTATCAGACACCATAAACATTCCAGGCTCTCTATTAAGCCTTACACATACTAAGTAAAGCAGCAAATAATGAGAGGCCCTGGGCTAAACCTCATTCATACAGTGAAAACTTTTTTCAGTTTTGCCCCAAAGAAACATGCACTTCAAGCTGTGAGCTAGGCGAGGCCATCATATTTGAGGTTCTGCTACAGAATAAATACTTTTCTTTTAAATCAAGAGCATTATTGGACGTTTAAACTGCACAGTAATCCAGGCAGGGATACCAAATAATCTTATACCATATAATGTACATCAAAATGACATAAAGGATGCAAAGTCTTGTCTAAGTGAAACTATTAGTATCCAATAAGGCTTATGGGGAGATGATTAAAATGAGTTGGATGCAGAGCTTGCTCCTGCCAGTGGGAATGCTCCCCAAGTGGAATTCCATGCAGAATGCTCCAGCTGGTGGGAAAGTGTAGATTTTCAGCAATTAGCCCTAATACTGTATGCCCATTATTGCCTCCTACACTGTTTGAGAGGGTCCCTCAACCCTCTAGCGCAGAGAGCATGGAGGGCTACAGAAGGAAGGGATAATCCACAAATACCTGTCCTGCTAAATTGAAAGCCTTCTGCAGCTTTCTGTTCATGGACAGCAAGGTCTGGCTCCAAGTCAATATGCATGTGTGGACAATTTTTAAAAGCATCAGAATAGTGAAATAGTTTCTTATTTATAATCTTATTTATAAAGAAAGTTTATTTTAAAAATAGTTTCATAGATTAATATGAAATTAGGAAATGAAGATTAATTTCCAAAAAATTAAAAAGAACATCTGAATGGAGTTTTAGGACTTTTACCGAAGTCATTTAATCTTCTGTAAGAAACAGTACAAAAATGTTGCCTTTTTTTTTGCAAAAGCTGTCATATAATTACTACAGGTTGGACTCAGGGTTCTGCTCAGGGAAGATGCTACACTACTGCTCAGCCCATTCAACAAGGTCCTGCCCAACACTATGTGTAACATTTTCAGGAAGGGTTGCCATGGGGAAGAGGGGTTAGGAAGTCTGCCTCCTTCAGCTCAGTTGTCCTAACCCTATAGAGGAATCTGGCCCATTGGCTATGTATTTTGATGGGAATATACATGAATGAATGCAGAATTTTATTGATTTCTTGCATATTTCACGGATATAGATTTGTGTCTATTTTCTATACCCAGTACATTAAGCAAAGAATTTCAGTTATTCTGTGAAATCAGAACACACAGAGAGACCAGTTCCTGTGATCAAAACAAGCCACAATTCTAGAAAAGCCCATGGGTTATTTGAGGATTGCTTCCTCCTTCAACAAGACATATTGCCTGCTTATGGATGACACAATGGGCAGGTTTTCACCCATCAATGTAAATCACTACAATAGGTTACCGCTAAGTGCCATCAAGCACAGTGAACCTGACAGATGATTGGCTCACTGAGTGTGCTTTGTTCTCTTCTTCCCTCTCATTCCTCTTGGTGGGTTCCCAGGGACACCTGTGGAGAAGAATGATGCCCCTCTCTTTGACAACCATGATCATGATGTGGTTTTGGATTGCTGCCACTATAAGAAGGTTCCTGCTGTTCAAGCAAGGCTCTTACCATAAAGCAGGGGTCCCCAAATGTTTTGAATAGGGGGCCTGTTGAAAGGTGTCAGGGATGGGTGTGGGCCACCAAGAGAATGCGGGCGGGGTGGGGGGGGAGCCAGCACCTCACTGTGTGCGCGCACTTGTGCCAAGCTATGGCGGGCGGGATAAATAGGCATAGCAGGCAGGATCGAGCCTGCAGGCCATAGTTTGAGGACCCATGCCATAAAGCATAATAGGGAGGATTGGGAAGCTGATCAGGCATCCCTGCCTCATGATTCAGAGAAGACATCTGAAGCATGAGATGAAAGAGCCAGGTCCACTCCACAGTTTTCTGTTCTCTGTGCAATCCTGCCAAGTCCATCGCCAGCTCCTGTCTGAATGTAGGCCTCTTGGGTCGGGTTCAGGAAGAGATACAGAAGGCAATTAGTATGACTGCACTGCCCCAAGAACAGGGTGGCCATTCCCAGATGATTTGCCAGCTCCCATCTTAAATCCTTGCCCTCAGGAAGTTGCTGGGAAGAGTTTGGGGGGTGGGGGCGGGATCAAGAACCAGGCAGCTCACCTGGCTCCCACTTCCTGATTTATGGGCAGGAGATAGGAGGTGGGACACCTCTGAGAAGTACAGCAAAGTAGGGGGCATCTGTGAGCCTCACTTGCTGGCTAGCCACTTGCCAAGCGTGGCACCATCACTTCTTTCAAGCAAGTCATTTGTTCTGGGACTTGACCCATGAAAGGCTGTGTTGTCTGAGTTCAGTCAACACAACAAGCAATCATGGTAGAAGCAAACACTAGATCATAGCATTGTGCATTATCATGGCTCACATCTACAGATGTGGAAGGAATCCATTTGGGGGTGGGAATCCATTGGATTCCCTGGGCTTGGCTCCCTTGTTTGGCCTCTGCTCCACTTTGCAGCTGTCCAGATCTGAGCTCTTGGCAAGCGTTCCCAAACATTCACTGGCTGCTCACCAAGAAGTCAGACTGAGGCATTGAGTAAGCAGTGCCTTTCTTCCATGCTCAGTGCTGCTGCTGGCAGCAGAAGACAAGAAAGAATTTAGTTGTTGGGAATGGCACCTGGCATGCCCACTTGTAATGCTCCTCTTCCATGTTTTGCAGCTGCTCTTTGGACAGCCTGCCTGCAAGTCCCCCCATGCCCACTGCAACACAGGCCATGCACTGGTGGCCCAAGGAGGTTCTTTGCCCAGTGCTGCACAGATGTGCTGATCTAGCACCTGGAAACCACTGCTGCTGCCACCTTTGTAGCGTTCAGCGCCTTCTCCCTCCTGTCAGTGGAGCTCTGCATTGGGTAAGGCAAGACATAAAAAATGGTATTTAAAATAATGCATGGTGTGGAGAAAGAAGAGAGGCAGACGTTATTCTCCCTCTCCTATAACACTTCAACCTGGGGTCATCCCATGAAGCTGATTGGTAGGAGGTTTAGGGCAGATAAAAGTACTTCCTCACACAGCATACAATTAAGCTATGGAATTTGCTGCCATGTGGAGTGGTGATGTCTGCCAATCTTTAGATAGAGATTGGACAGATTCATGAGAGAGGTAGCTACTAGCCTTGCAGGCTATACACTACCTTCTTTACCAGAGGTGGCTTGCCTGCATGCAGTTGCTGAGGTGCTTGGGCAGGAGGAGGTCTTGCACCCATCCTGCTTAAAGGATCTGTGGGCTTGCCATCATATTTGTCAGAACTGATTATACTGAGTTAGATGGACCAAAGTTCTGACTTGGAATAATGTAACTTCCTAACAGAAGCAAAATTTAAAATGTAAAAGTGTGAACAGCAAGGCAGGGAGCTCTCTCTTGCACGCTCCCACAGTAGGAAAACAGAAATTCACTGATGAGTAAAGAACTTCCTTTTTAAAATGATATACAAGCTGTACTAACCATAAAATCTGTACGTATAGTTCTACATCTAATAAGCAATACGCTAAATAGAATGCACAAAATAGCTAAGTTCATTTTTTCTGGCAATTGATATAGGAACTGGAGATTGATATAGGAACTGTACAGAACATTTGTGAACAGTCTTTAATGATTCACAGTTCAGAGTAGATAAAAAGTGGCTGATTAATTTAATGGTGTTTCTCAGTAACACTAATACCTATGACTGAATGTTTTAAAGGACTAAAAAGAAGAATGCCATTCAAGTAATCAATTTAAACATACTGGTTCCAATCCAAGGGACAATAACCTGCTGCTCTCATAGAGCTTTCCCTCAATTACAATATGATCTATGCTATGTGGAAGCAGTGCTGATCATCTAGTAAGCAGGAA